GAAATGTTAGCTTGTGACATAAAGCAGTGGTACAGTGAACTTAAAGACTTTTCAAATATAAAGGTTGAAAGGTGTATCCATGCATCAGAAGACACTGAACTTCATATAATATTTGACGCATCAAGTGAAGCGTATGGATCGGTAGTGTACAACAAAAATTCAGCTTTACATAAGCCTAAAAGTGTTGCTGCAAAAGGAAGAGTCGCTCCGTTAAAATCATTAAGAATTCCGAGAATGGAACTTCTAGCTGCAGTACTTGGAAGCAATCTGTTCTTCATTGAAAATGAACATTCACCAGTGTACATTCTGGTCCGATAGCATGCATGTTCTGTATTGGATTCATAGACAAAGCATGAAGTATAAGACATTTGTTGCGAATCGTGTGTGATGCATTCTTTCACATACTTCACCTAGTCAATAGAGACACGTACCCACAAAAGAGAATCATGCAGATCATCTGACATCACGTGGAACGTCGAGAACAGAACTGGCTGGAAACCTTCAGTGGTGGAATGGCCCAGGCTTTCTTTAAAATATTCCGGAATTATAGCCAGAGCACAAGATGGAAATACATGATGTGGCCAAAGTAGAAATAAAACGCAAGTCGCCTTATAACAGCTATGTGACATTAAGTGAGAATAATGACTTTGACTCAAACCAACAAGGTACTCTGATTGGAATCGTTTAGTACGAATATCGGCTTGGGCTCAACAATTCATCGATGAGTGTCAAGTTGCCAAAAATGAACGTAGATTATCATTAGAAGTGTTATTATTTCTGATAATGGGACAAATTTTGTCGGTTGTGTTAACGAACTCAAAGATCTATTCAAGAAACTTGATGAAAGTGATATCGTTAAAAGTGCTGTAAATAGAAAAATTGAGTGGAAATTCATTCCACCAAATGCACCACATTTTGGCGGATGTCATGAAGCTATGGTGAAATCGGCAAAGAAACCAATATATGCGATTCTAGGGAACGCGGATATCATAGATGAGGAATTAGTAACAGCAGTCGTTGGAGCTGAAAACTTGATAAACAGCAGTCCTTTAACATCAAACCAAAATGAGTATGTGTTGACAACCAATCATTTCTTGACTGGCCAGCTTGGTGGACAATTCGCTCCAGATATTATTGACAATGATCGTTATGATGTTAAAAAGCGATGGTGGTATGTCCAGGAACTCCTACGTCATTTCTGGAAGCGTTTGCTTCGAGAATACTTGCCAACTCTGGGATCTCGATCGAGGTGGTTTCAAACTTCACGTGACTTCAAAGCGGACGATATTGTGTTAAAAGTTGATCCAGTCACACCCCGGGGGCATTGGACTATAGGCTGAGTGACAAAAGTGTTCCATGGTCCAGATGGACATTTTCGTGTAGTAGATGTTCAAGTTGGGACAAATGTATTTCGACGACCAAGTCTTGTTGCAGAATCAAGCTAAAGTTGTTAGTAACTCATTTATGAAAACAAAATAAACAGAAAAATTAACATTAAATGTAATAAAAATGAAGGCATAGTGCTTAAGGGGCATGATAATCCCCAGTGCCTTCTTATAAGATAAATTTGATGAAAGCCATAGTGTTTAGGGGCACAATAATCCCCAGAGCCCTCTCATGATAATATTTAGTTTTTTCATAAATCGTACATAGAATTGCAAGAATGAAAGAACTCAAAGGATGGTGCCGACTTGCAAAGAATCTAAAATACATTGACATTTTTATTAAAGAAATATTTAGCGAGACTTTAACATTTCAGTTAAATGCTGATTTTGTTGACTATGCGTGTGTTGCATTTCTTTAAACTGTAGCAAAGTTAAAATGAATTGGTGAAAACAGTTGCTGTTAAAATTATTGTTGATTGAATATAATCAATTATCAAAACTGTTTGACATTTAGTTTTTAAAGAACAGACTTTGACTGCTGTATACTGTATGAGGGTTGAATTTATCATGTGTAGATAGAATGATGAAGACATTTTAAATAGTGGGTTATTCAAGTTCCACAAAATAATTATGATTTACATGTGTGTACATTTCTATACGCTGTCATTCTTCATACTAAAATAATGTTCTGTTTTACTTAAGGTCTGATTTTACTAAATTTAGTTTATCGTGGGTTTTTTGTTAAAATGTTAGCTTAACATTAAATATTAAGTTCGGTTTGACATATGTTTGGTTTGAAGAGTGACAGGTAGTTTTCTGTTTAATCAGCAATTCATGTATATTTTTTGTGTGTTTACATTTCAAATATCATAAAGGAAGTAATCACTGCATTAAAATGTTTGTTTAAGTAAATTGGATTGTCTCCCCTTACAAAAGTATATTTATTGTAGACAATGTTATAATATACTGAAGCAAGACTAAGGATGGTGCTTATTTAGGTATATGTATATAGTATTAGATTAAAAACTTAGGAATAACTAAGTATAGGTATAAAGGGGTTAGACTCGATGACTTCTAATCCAGTTACCTCTCTGGCGTGGGTTCGATCCCCGGGAGATGTTTTGGTAGTTGAGCGCGGAGGAAGGTAGTGTAGTACTGGTGTAACTCTCCAAGTATGATGGTTAGGAAACTACCCGCCTATATGACTGAAATACTGTTGGGAAATTGCGTAAAATGAAACAAACAAACAAACAATTATGATGACTACTGTAAATGGATGACAATTTGCAAGTAGTAAAATTAATCAAAATTGAATGAGGTAACATTTTAAAGTTAAAAAATTATTAAGGTTCTGATAGGGAATGCATAATAACATGTACATTTGTCTTTTTTTGTATTCACGTGGCGTTTCAATTATGAGAAATATACAATTTTTTTCTGGATAGTTTAGTCTTGTGAAGATATCGTAAAAAACAGATATTAATTCGATGATTCGAGTACATTTTTAGGTACTTATCGTTATATAATTGTCAGATAGAATGTTAATGTTATTATCGTTATTGATCGGTAAGACCGATCAATGTTTAGAGCTATGTCCTAAAGAGTGACCTATAGTTGTTCATCACGATACAAAATAAGCCTTATTAGTATTATTTTAGTGGTGTTAGGTCTGTTATGTTTTTAGGTTTAGAAGAAAGCGTGGTTTAATAAATAGAATCAACAAGAAATTCGAGAAATTATGCATTATTGATTATTTAACCCACACAAATATCGATGTCACATCCACCAATGTTAATGGCAATTTTTGCTAAATGTCCTGATCATCCCAGCGTTTTAAATAAAACTGCTTCACATTTTATCTTTTTAAAGTGGTATTTGAAACTTAAAGATTCAAAGAATAAAGAAATTACTAGATTGGTGTTTGTCGCCTATTTGTTTTCAGCGCATGTGCAAAGAGGGTACCATTTTAGTATATATCGCAATTAGGGTACCGATATGAATATACGCACCGTGAAACAGTAAACTGTGCAAATATTAAGTAAACTCCTCTCTGTATCTACCAGGCTTATCATATTCAAATCACTTTAATTACTGTCTCGTAGTCTGGCATTTCTGTAGTATAACGACGTTGGCAGAACGTCATAATACTGAAAATGAGCATGATAATATGCAAAAGCTAAAGTTGGTGAAATAACATAAGGGAATGTTTCCCATATATAAGGACACAAACCACTTTCGGTGGTGAGCCAACACATTTGGAAAACTCCAGTACAGGCCCGTAAGCATTGTTATCAGTAACTGCACATCATATTCACTAAATCAGAGCAGTTTATTTCATGTGAATTAAAAAAGTGTTGTAAATTTGCTAGTAGCAAACATGGAAACATAGTTTCTGCTGAAACAGAAATCTGTTACAAGTGTAGTTGTTTTCATTTTTTGTTTGTCAATTGAAAGCCGCATGTTTCCAGATTCATGCTAATTTTCATGAAAAAAATTGAAATTGTATTTAATAGTAATGTATTGTGATGTGAGCAAGAAAAGTAATTTACCAATTGCAAACAGCACTTATAGTACACGTCAATAACTAAAAAGAGGTCAAAATATTAAATAGCCCTTACTGCTTTAGTAATGCAATAAAAAATAGTTGATAAACACTACAAAATCAGTCATTGATCGCTCCAAGTTCGAAACTAACACATATATCTTTAAAAAAAATCAGACAGAATGTATGTTTTTCATAATTCCATGACAAACTTTTTTCCACATTTTGTTAAAATCTCTTTTTTTAACAATTGACTTTGACCCCTATGCCCTTGTTAGTCAACTCGTGCATGCGTGAGTCCAATATTCTGAAGTTCAGAAATAAGGTTTTTCAGCCTTAACAAAGTTCACGTGCATGGATTTTTCATTTCGAAGATACCTTTATTGCCTTGCAGCAATGTTTAGTAAAGATGTTGGAGGATAGAATTTTCCATTGTTTCCTTTCAATTTCACAGATAATCGTTGCCACCAAAAATATATTTCTTCACAAGAACGGAACTGCTCTATATTAACGGGAATAGGATAACCAGGCTCTTGCTTAGTCTCCGGTTGTAGGTTACGGTTTGCAGCCCACTCGCTCCAGACGTACTCTGTCCAGTTTTTGTTTTTCGGTGTCTTATAGGGCAATGTATTTCTGTTTCTTCTTAATGTCATCAGACGACAAAAGCTTTTCAAATCGGCATGCAAATATAAAAAAAAATCACATAAATATGATTTTCAAAGTTCTTTTAATATTACAATGGCGATTAAGGCAGATTAATCACGTTATGTTTGAACACTTTACCGTCATCTTCTTTGAGGCTTGGTGCTGGTTGGGCGAAGGAAAGCTGCGCGCCTGACATGTTACAATTTGTATTTTCATTCAAATAATGATGCAGTTAGATATTGCGAGAATTCAGGATTTGTTTTTATAAATTATTTACCTGAGCTATTGCCTCTGCTTGCGTTTGATATAAATCCTGCGTATCAATATTAAGCAACCCTGACCACATCAGCACATTCGACAGGAATTGGTTCAATAATATGATTCTTGTTAAATTTACTATTTCATCATGTCAAACACATTGCTCCATGATGACTTATGATGTAAAACGCAAAGCTTTGATTGACAGGTCAAAACACTCCGACCATGTGTTGGCCTGTCAATCTATACCAGTTTACGCGGGACTCGTGCTGTACCGATACTTCGTAGGTGACTTATTCCACGAATCTGGGTCAAACGGTAAGCCAGTTATAATTCATATTTTAAAAACTGTATAACTTATTGCTGTGCTCCACAAGGCTTTGCTTGCAATAAATTCCATATTTTTTTAAAATCTGAACAATAACTATTGCTTAGATTTTTACAAGCGTCATTTTTACAAAATCAGTTACGAGGCTTTTAAAAACTATGCGTTTTACAATACACACAAATGTATTTTTTTTAATATAAATATCAATGTTATAATACTTCAGATATTTAGAGCGGATATTTATCTTGCTTATAATTTGTCATTTATGTAAACTATTCAACAATTCCTTATAGAATTCCCTAGTCAAACAGACATTTTCAACATTTACAAGCCTATCATTTACGGGACTCACTCTCTTTCACATTCTCTTGTGATTTATTAGTCCCCTACCGGTTTACCGGAGGGGACTTTAGGTTTACCCTCCGTCCGTCTGTCCGTCTGTCTGTCTGTCCGTCTGTCCGTCCGTCAGTCCGTCCGTCCACAAAACTGGATCCCGCAATAACGCAAAAAGTACTGAAAATATTTTAATTAAACTTGATATATGGATATATGGCACTATGGAGATTATGCACGTCTTTTTCTTTTCTTCCTAAGTTGAAAATTCTGGTTGCTATGGCAACAAATAGACTGAAAATATGGCAAATTTTACACATAACCTGGATCCCGCGATAACGCAAAAAGTACTGAAGATATTTTTATGAAACTTGATATATGGATAGATGGCAGTATGGAGATTGTGCACATTTTTTTCTTTTCTTCCTATGTTGAAAATTCTAGTTGCTATGGCAACAAATAGACTGAAAATATGGAAAATTTTACACATAACCTGGATCCAGTGATAACACAAAAAGTACTGAAAATATGTTTATGAAACTTGACATATGGGTAGATGGCAGTATGGAAATTATGCACATCCTTTTCTTATCTTCCTATGTTGAAAATTCTGGTTGCTATGGCAACAAATAGACTGAATTTCAAGATTTCTGATTCTAGTTTTTAAGTTTTTTCACTATAAGTTCTTTATTTCTTAAGGTATTTTCTTCAAACTTTAAATATAAGTTGCTTGTCATCAACCACATCATATGTGACAAGGTTTACAACTCTAGCACAAAATTTATCAGAATTACCTCCCTTGAACTTAAAATTTTCATTAAAAAAATTTTTTTTTTTTTAATAACTTCTTTTTCTGAATGTATCTACTTCAAACTTCATATAAATGTTTCTTATTATCACCCAACATTTGTGAGTGTTCAATACTCTAGCAAGACTATTTCCAGAATTATGCCCCTTTTGAACTTAGACTTTTTTTTGAGAAATTGGTAATTTTTACTCCAACTTCTTCATGATAGGATTTTAAAAATGTTATATTTTGATAACAGGGATGTTTAAAAAATAACTTTAGAGTGTCCTTCAGTCCTGCTGTCTGTACATAAAAACTGTTTCCTGTGATCACTTTTAAAGAACTTTTTCAACAAATTTACTTAAAAATAGGAACATAAGTGAATGGCCAGTGGCCCTTCAGAATGTTGCTTGGGCTCTTACCGGTAGGGGACTTATGGATTGCTTGCAATACTATGATAATTGCTTGTTCTGCTTGATTTGTCGAATTATTTCAACTTGTTAATTGACATTGGTATTATTGGAATGGTATTCTTCCACGAAAACTAAGATGTATCCATGTTTTTTAAAAATACGCGTCTTAAATGTGTTTTTCACTTGCAGGTAGCCTCTAAAAATCATAATTTTGATATTGTAATTGATATGTAGACGTTTTGACTATTATAGAGTTCGATGGATACTTCATTTCACGAACGAATACATTTTAACTTATATTGCAGTCATAAAAATGAAGTAAACTTGAAAACAGTCGTGTCCTGTATCTTGCTGAACTGTCCCGTATATGGTAAAATGTATTGTGAAATATTCATTCGAGTAATAGGAAATGAAATTTTGTTTCCGCGCCTATCGGTGTAAACGCAATAATATTGGAGTATTTTGTATTAATTGTAAGATGGAAAGTTCTTTGGAGCAGATATGGTGACAAATACCTAGTATTTGTCCTTAAATTTTCAAAGATGTTTTAGTTAAATGGGTAATGAAAATGCATGCATCATGAAACAAAATATTTTTTCTTTATCTAGGTACTTAATATATGTTTAAACAAACATACTGTACAGTGTTTTGCAGTTCAATTATAAGATAATAGTAATAAGATTGATGTTTCCATAAGTACGGACGAGCATTACTGCCAGGTGTGTGCTTTTTATTAACTCGAAATACTCGAAGTTTCGAGTTACTTACTTGAAATTTCGACTTGATAACTCAAAATTTCATTTGAATTCAAGATACTTTCTTTAATGTGTAGCTGTTGCACATTGCCAGAGCACCTTTGTATTTAACAGAACAATTTAATTGGATCAAATTGTCCACACAGACCGAACATATTCTAACGGTGGCACAAAGGTGACATGTGTGTGTTTTATTTATCTCGTGCGCACGAGATATTTTGTTGTGGCCACGAGTTTTTAAGTCGTTGTAACGAGATACGATATCGTGGCCACGAGTTAGTAAGTCGTGGCCACGAGATAGTTAAGTCTTTAGCCGGTAATTGGTGTCGACGTTTGTAACTTGCACATTCCATTACCGTCCATGAACAGGCTCAATCAAGCCGAGCTTGCAACAATTTCAATTTTGTCGTTTTGTTCGTTCTTTAAGGATTCTTTATTTCCACTATTTTAGTTTTTGCAGAAAGTTATGTGTTTTTGTCAAGTTAACTCAAAACAACTCTGTAATGGTTTCATAGCGATTGATGGAATGACTCAGTAGGCACCTGAGTCAAACAATCATATTTAGCTGTATAGTTTCCTTACATGAAAATAAATCAATTTTAACAAAAAGCGCAAGTGGAACATGAGTTGATGGCAATAATTTAGCATACCTTAAGGAAATATTAGTGATCAAATTCATTCATTCAAAATACTTAACTTAAAACATAATACTTGCCGCTGTAGAGTATGTAGAATTAACTTTGTATTTTAATAATATTGATGCTAAAATATATTTACTAGTTCACACTCACATTAATGTTATCAAATGCTTTGTAAAAGTCGTATGTTGAAGCGGAGCATGCGCATCACAAAACTTTTAGGACTTGTTATAATGAACTTAGCCTTTAACTGAAACAATATTTAAAAATATTTAGATATAAATATTTCAGACATCTTCTTAAAAATATAATTCCTGAGAAGAACCCTCGATAGCAACGAAAGAAGCTGAAAGAAGCTTAAATGCAATTTAACCTCACCCCCTCCAAATTCAACGTCCAAAAGAATTGGTTTCAGCCATATTAAATCCTCAATATTTAAAGTATTGGAATAAATCATTCGGGATATAACGAAACATAGAACAACACTGAGGGTGGTAGGCACGGAACTACTTTTTTACCAATGTCACACTTTACACTTGCAGATGTTAGTATTAATGATTTGACATTGGGCGGGGGCACTTATAATTTTGAGAAAGCCTTATCAGAAATTCCAGAAGTACGGTATTAATGTCTTTATCCCAGCTTACTTAGTTTGTTACTTTAAGCCCTAACTACATTTGTTGTTGTTTACAAAAATAAAAAAAAGAATGCAATGTGCCTTTATGTTAGTTTAAAAAAATGAATATATTAATTTGGTTGCTCATCAATCACAAACGTTCTGGAAACAGACATATTATTAGAGTACGAAAATAAATCTAAATATTGATAAAAAGCAGGGTTTGTTTCTAGATAATGGAGTGCAACGTCTCTCACGATCCCTGGTTGACGTCTATGTACGACTAGCACTATCACTGCGTGTGAAAAAAATTCATGCACATAAAAAAGTTACAAAACTAGTCATATAGTAAAAATTAAGGTACTCATTTTAAGAAATTTACTGAATATACATAAACATAAAAAGAAAGTGTTACAAAGTGTTTACCGGTTCATTTACATGTTAAAAAAACTGCATGAACAATGAAATATAGATGCAGTATTTTCTAATATCTCAAAGAGATATCCATTAATAAATCTGCTTGGTGTCTAGTAATAAGTTTTTAAAACAAACTTATAATCCGATTCACATGACTGGACTATTTGAGATGTTTTGTCTCCAAGATAAAATATTTGTATAAAGGTAATTTTCTCTCTAGAAAATTAGGTTGATGTTTACTGGTTCTTTTAAAAGGATTTGGAGAGAAATCTTTAACCCATTTCCCATTTAAACACACGCGTTTAGCTAATTGTATTAATTAATTGGTTCAAAGTTATTTCGAATTATTTGCAATAGAGAAATTCTAGAAAGAGAAGATATTAGCACCGGTTTAAGGAATAGAACTATTCAAATCCCAGGACTAAAGTATAAATAACAATGTTGCCGAAAGACCAAAGACAGTAAAGTAAACTATTTTGACTATAAATTCAACGAAAACGTTGGATGTCCATGGCCGAGTGGTTAATGACGTTTACGTCATACCAGTTGTGCCTCATTTATGTGGGTCTAAATCTCGACGGGTACTCTCAATTATTCCATGTGATGAAGTTATCCAGCTAGCTTACGGAACATCGGTGGTTCTATTTTTGTCTGAAATAATGCACAGATGGGCCTACAATCGCATATGACCTCTGCAGTGTAAATGCGTCACACACACCCTAAAAACATAGTCTTTATCAATTTAATTCTGCCAAATTGAAAATGGACGTGAAGACTTAATAAGCAAATCAACGCATAGGGAACACAGTCATCTTCAACAATATACAGCTTATATGACCATGGATTGTTTATGCGATTCGCATTACTGTTACAAATAACTTATTAAACTATAAATCTTGTAAGAGTGAATCTGGAGAGAATTTTTTTAACTAATTAAATTTGCAATTGTAGAAAAAGTAGTTCACATCTGCGGATGTTTCTAAATTCAACATTTTACCATTTCATGTTTAAATGTTGAATTATGCTTAAGC